TTTCACATGCAGTACATATTTTAATAGTAAGGACTTTATGTTTTTTTAATCTAGTAAGGCCAGATCCTATTTTTATGTTTTTAATTATTTTTTCCAAATTTACTTTCATGCTATAGAAGTGGGCTGGAGTGATAGCACAGCGGTAGGGCGATTGCCTTGCATGCGGCTGTCCCAGCAGAGCCAGGTTTGAGTCCTCCGCCCCTCTCAGAGAGCCCGGCAAGCTACCGAGAGTATCTCGCCCGCATGGCAAAGCCTGGCAAGCTACCCGTGACGTATTCAATATGCCAAACACGGTAATAACAAGTCTCATAATGGAGACGTTACTGGGCCCGCTCGAGCAAATCGATGAACAACAGGAGGACAGTAGTATTTGTGTTTGCTATAGGAGCATAATAAATGTATAAATTAACAGAAAGACACTGACATTTAAACAGCGGGTAGGGCATTTGCCTGGCATGTGGCCGACCCAGGTTCAATTCCTCCATCCCTCCCTCTCGGAGAGCCCGGCAAGCTACCAAGAGTATCCCACCCACACAGCAGAGCCTGACAAGCTCCCCTTGGCATATTCTATATGCCAAAAATAGTGACAACAAGTCTCACAATGGAGACGTTACTGGTGCCTGCTCGAGCAAGTCGATGAACAACGGGCGGACAGACAGACACAGTCTTGTTGAATCCTTTTTTTTTTTTTTGAGGGCATTTTATCCCCATTTGTTGAAGCTTACATTTTTCCCAGAGGATTTTTTATTATATTCTATATCATTTTTTGCATATATATGTGGCTTTATTCTGGATACTTTAAATTTTTTATTGTCTATATAAGTTCTCTATATTTAGGTTTGGCCATTTTTGCAAGACTGCTTTAGTAGCTGGTATTGTGTCTTGGTGTCTCAAAGTTTTTTTGCCATGTGGGCGAGATACTCTCGGTAGCTTGCTGGGCTCTCCGAGAGGGGCGGAGGACTCAAACCTGGCTCTGCTGGGACAGCCACATGCAAGGCAATCGCCCTACCGCTGTGCTATCACTCCAGCCCACTTCTATAGCATGAAAGTAAATTTGGAAAAAATAATTAAAAACATAAAAATAGGATCTGGCCTTACTAGATTAAAAAAACATAAGGTCCTTACTATTAAAATATGTACTGCATGTGAAAAGATAGATCAATTGAACAGAGCAGAAAATACCGAAGTAGACCTAATTGCATATGGAAAAACAACTCAAGATAGAGAGAGGTTTCATTTGTTTCAACTCGTAACTATTACTACTAATAAATTAGGAGGCCATTTACAATAAAAATAAGATAATTTTGAAAGTAGTATCAATAATTATTCACATAATAAAAAAACTTGGTGTCTCAATTTATTCCCTCACACCAAAAGTTTAAAAGCAAGTTTACATAGCTAAAATGAAGGTTTTGAGCATAGCTACGTTTCCGATGGAAGCTTCAGGAGACAGTATTTTTCTTGCATTTGGAATCTGCCAGCATTCCTTGTCTTGTGGCCACATCATTATAATCTCCTCTTTCCTTCACATCTGTGTGTCTCTGTCTTACAAGAATATTTGTTGTTGGTTTTAGAACTCATTAAGATATGGGTTCCCTCTGATAATTCTCTCTGTTAAGATCCTTAACTAATTATATGCATGAAGATCTCTCCACTTCTTATTAGTTAACATTTTAGGTCTGGGGATTAGCACTGATCTCTAGATGTCTGTATTCATCATACTATTTTTCATTTCATTTCATCATCCTGTTATTTTTCGATTGCCTCGAGCAGGCCCCAGTAACATCTCTTTCATCCTAGCCCTGAGATTATATTCAAGGTTCTTTAGGAGAATGAGACCCATCATTGTTACTGGTATTTGGCATATTTGGTACGCCACGGGGAGTTTGCCAGACTCTGCCCTGTGGGCAGGCTACATTCAATAGCCTGCAAGTTTGTCCAAAGTAGGAATGAGATAATAAGATGTCATAAAAAGATGTCCTGATAAGATTCTGTATTAAAATTTTGTTGTAAAAGGTTTTTTTTTTTTTGCTGTTTTTTGGGTCACACCCAGCGATGCACAGGGGTTACTCCTGGTTTGCACTCAGGAATTACTCCTGGCAGTGCTCAGGGGACCATATGGGATGCTGGGAATCGAACCTGGGTTGGCCACGTGCAAGGCAATTACCCTACCCACTGTGCTATTGCTCCAGCCCCATAAAAGTTTTTATGTTAGTTTTTTTCTTACCAAAATAGCTTCTTCTTTGTTGTTTCTCTTCTAAGTGGTTTTTAAGTTGTATATTGATTTTTGTGTATTTATTTAATACTTGCTACTTTATATTGAATTCTTTTACTCTTGTTTGTTTGTGTTTTGGGCTAGACCTCAAAGTGCTCAGGGACTACTCCCAGCTGGGTTAAGGGTTAATTGTGGTGGTGCCTGGGGGACTGTGTTGTTGGGGATGGAACACTCATTTCCTGTATGTAGGGCTTGTGCTCCAGTTCATTGACCTATCTCTCTGGTTCCCTCTTACTCATAATAACTTTCCAAATGATTTTTGGGAAGATTTATAATTATGTTATTTGCACGTAATTTTACCTTTTGATTGCCAGTTTTCATACTTTCCTCGTCTATTTCCACTGACCGACATTTCTAAAATTTATATAATAATTAGATAATGAGATATCAGGTATCTTGATCTTATTTCCTATCATACAGATACAGTAGATATAATTAGCCTCAGTAGGTAATAATAAAATTAAGTAAAATAGATTTATCTCCCACTGTTGCCAGAGAATCAGCCCAGCTTCATTGACTGATTTCAGAGACACCAGCAACTGAGTAATCTCATCAAGTCCCAGCCACCACAAGGCCAAGATCTCTGGACCCTAGAGGGATGGGGACAGACCCAATCCCTGCCCTGCCAAAGGGCCAGAACTCTGCCCACCCGTATATAGCTCCTGCCGTTGACAGAGAATCAGCCCAGCTTCAACACTATTTTTAGAGAGACACCTGCAGCTGACCATCCCAGCTTCAAAGCCCTTGAAGCAAACAGCCACGTATATGGCCATGCAACACATCCATACTTCACAGAATTGACAGCCCAGGAGAAACAAGAAAATTAGATGAGAAAATTGAGTATAAGCCCACTAAGCTCAATGAGTGAAAACAGCACAGAGGGCCCAACTCACACCTAACAGCTCAGTAAATCTTCAGACCATGACTTTAGCAACACCATTATGAGATATGTAAATATAAAGTAAATGAATTAGTTCCTGCTAAGGAAGCAGGCTTGGGCAGGGGGTCGGAAACTAGGGACATTGGTGGAGGTAAGCCACAGTAAATGGAACTGATGTTGGAATATTGAACCCAAAACAACTGTATTGTTAACAACTTTGTAAATCACGGGGTTTAAATAAAGTTTTAAAAATTACAAAAGAAAAAAATTGAGTAAAATGGTATGTTTTCAATATTACATTGTTTTGAATTTAGTTTAATTGAAAATTCATATAAGTTATCTTGGTTTGATTTTGTTGTTTTTGGTTTGGGGGCCACACCCAGTGGTCCTCAGGGCTTGTTCCGACTGCACTCAGGGATCACTCAGGTGGTGATGGATCACTATGTGGGGCTGGGGTTTGAACCCAGGCTGGTTGTGTGCAATGTTGGTGTTTCATCCACTGTACTGTCTCTCACATCCTACAGAAGTTAACAAAAAAATTTATTAAGAAACTCTGATTTGCAAAATTATTCATTGTTGAGTTTTAGGCATACAAATACTAGCACCAATCCCCCTATGTCCTCAAGTTTCCTCCCACCCCCCCACCCCCCTCCCCCACCTGCTTTCTTTGACCAGCATGCTTTCAAGTTTTATTTTTGTAGGTTGGCTCTTATACTTTCAGTATTGTTGGCACTGTAATTTGAATGTACAGTTATTCTGCCTCTATACCTCTCATGTGCTCAGGACCCTTGCCCCTGCCCTTGTTACTTCCTGTCCGCCTTTTCTTACTTTCTCCTCAGTTTCTTTCCTTTCCTGTCCTCCTTCCTATAGCCTAGGATCAAATGTGGTTTAAGCATTACCCTGTAAGATAACTTTTAATGATGTCTGTGTTTAATATCTGGCTCACAAAACTCATAAAAATGCTCCTACTATCAAGTGGCTCTTAAGAGTGTGAACCTATTTCAACATACTATTGTGTTGGAGAACATAATCAAGATTTGTTTTAATAAGTTGTCTAGTAAAAAAAATAAGTTGTCTAGTGAAACATGAGTTATATGACAGAGCAAAAGCAGAATGATATACTAATAATTGTACTGATGCATACCATTTTTTATTGAATCACCGTGAGATACAACTTCAAAGCTTTCATGATTGAATTTCAGTCATACAATGATCAAACACCCATCCCTCCACCAGTATACATTTTCCACAACCACTTTCCCCAGTATCCCTCCTGCCACGCCCCCCCCACATCCCACCCTCTGCCTTTATGGCAGTTTTCTTCTTGCTCTCTCTTTACTTTTGGGAATTATGGTTTGCAATACAGATACTGAGAGTCCATCATGTTTGGTCCTTAGTCTACTTTCAACACAATCTCCCATCCTGAGCAATCCCTCCAACCATCATTGACTTAGTGACCCCTTCTCTATCTCAGCTGCCCCAGCTCATGAGACCGGCTTTCAATCTTAGAGCAATCTTCCTGGCCCTTGTCTCTACTGTCTTTGGTTATTTTATATTCCACAAAAAAGTGCAGCCATTCTGTGTCTGTCCATCTCTCTGACTTATTTCACTTAGCATGATGATAATGCATACTTTTTTAATAACTTGTTCCACTAAACTTGTTCATCTGTTTTAAAAGACTGAAAATTTGTTTTAAGCAAGAGTTGACTGGATTGGGTGCAATATTTCTTGGTTTATTATTCCAACTTTTAAATGATAATATAAGAAGTAAATCTGGGCTAGTATATTCTATTGATGTGTCATATGATTATAAACATTACTTATTGTTTGATTGTTTCCCTTAAGGCATAACTGTGACACCTGATGAAGAACAAAACTTGAATCATTATGTAGAAGTTTTACAGAACATGTTATTAAGTGTTCCCACTAAAGAGATAACTTCTGTCAAAGAATCAGCGTCTTCAATTACTGCTCAGTCGCTAAACCCTAAAATATCCAAATTAAATACTGCAACTAGACATGGAGATGTTTCAACAGAGAAAGAGAAATCAACCAGTCGTCATGCTACAACTCCCTTTACACCAGGCTTCCCATGGCAAACAGGGAAGAAAAGACGTAAAACCACAGCGTTCTGGTCTGTTAGACCAAACAATGTCTCTGTTGTTTTACGTACCGATGAGCCATTTATTGAAAAGGAAGAGCCAGAGCCAGAGCCAGAGCCAAGTTCTACACGAAGTGTTATTGAATCAACCACAATTGTAGAGACTGTCTCTTCAGGGAGCACCCTTGATGTGGATACTGCCGCAGAGCTGGAAGATGTTCCTCAGCTTTCAGGAACTTACATGTCACCTGAGTCTCAGAGGTTGAGAAATGAAGAGATTTTGAAAAAAATTTCAGATATTCGTTCACAGGTGCGACGGGTCCCTGTTTCTGAGAGCCTCCAGCCACAATATAGAAAAGACATTATAGCCGCCAGAGAGCACTTAAAACGAAGCCTTGCTCTAGCTGCGGCAGCAGAACATAGACTGCAAAAGATGTATGAATCCGAGGCAATACCTCTAGGACAAAGCAGTGGTGAAAATGGAGACATTGAAACTGTAATAAACGTACTGTATAACTCGAGATCTAAGTTATCTGAATATTTTGATGTGAAATCTATTCCACCAGAGTTGAGAAGAAAAGCTACTGTAGTAATTAATATATTGAAAAAAACATTATGTGCAAGTCAAGTAGAAACTCAAAGTCTTATTAAGAAGTTATTAAGCAATAATATGCAAATTTTAAACATACTTGATGTTCCTTGATAGAGTTGATTTAAGCGAACTGTGCATTGATTCACAGAAGAACTAAACTTACTAGTGAGTCAGAGTTGTAAAAATGATATTTTCTATTGCAGCCCAATATGCTAGCATCTTTATGTGACATTTATTTAAATGTATGCAATTTTCCCTATGCACTAAAATATAACAGTTTAAATCATTCAATTTGTGAGTTTGTCATCATTTTCATTAATTTTATATTTATTTTAACTTTGGGGGAGCTTCCTAAATACTACTCAGAGGACTGCAGAGCCACTCTTGGAGATACTCAGGCAGCTGGCTGGATGGTTCAGCAGTGCTGGAGGCTGCCAGGTCGACATGGAGGTGCGTGGGTGATTTACAGGGCTGCGACCAGTGTTGCTCAGGAGGGCACAGAGCACTAAGGAGCAGTCCTTACAAATGCAGGGCATGTGCCCCTGGTCACTGAGCCTTCTCTAAAGAGGTTTATTTTTTTTAAAGCATTGAGACATATATGTGTATATACATACATATATATGTGTGTGTTTATACACATATATGTATGTTTATATAGTGACATATATGCGGCTTTAAATAATTACATGGAAAGGAAGAGGGCGTTTGCCTTGCACGCAGCCAACATGGCCGACCCGAGTTCGATTCCTCCGTCCCTCTCGGAGAGCCCGGCAAGCTACCGAAAGTATCTCGCCCGCACGGCAGAGGCTGGCAAGCTCCCCGTGATGTATTCGATATGCCAAACACAGTAACAACAAAGTCTCCAATGGAGACGTTACTGGGCCTGCTCGAGCAAATTGATGATCAACGGGAGGGCCTTTACTTTACTTTACTTTTAATTACTCCTTCAGAGATCTGAGTTATCTTTCTAAGGAACATATTGGGAACTTGTATCAGGACTTCTTTCACTTGGGTATGCCTTTCCTTTGAAAGGAAGATGACATATTAAGTTACTTTGTTTATAAGTACCTCTGGAGTAAGAATTGTAACATGTATTTGGGCATACCACATCTGGTGGTGCTCAGAGGCTACTCCTTAGTGCTCAATGGTCATTCCTGGCAGTGCTCACAGGGACTGTATGTGATGCTGGGATCTAACAGATGTTATCCCATGCAAGGCAGGAACCTTAACCCCTGATAGTCTGACCACTATAACCTAGATTCAAAATGAATTCATTTTTCTTATTTTGCTTGTTTAAACATATTTACATGGAAACTTTACAAATATTTGGTCAAATATGACTGCTATTATTTTTAAAATTTTTTATTAAATCACTGTGAGATAAACAGTTATAAAGTTGTCTATGATTGGGTTTCAGTTATACAATATTCCAACACCCGTTCCTTCACCAGTGTACATTTTCTATCACCAATGTCCCCAGCTTCCCTCCTTCTAACACTTCTCTCTCTCTCTCTCTCTCTCTCTCTCCCTCCCCCCCCTTTCTCTTTCTCCTTTTGGTCACTACAGTTTGCGGTACAGGTACTGTAAGGTTATCATGAATATATCTTTACCTACTTTTAGCAGTCAGTTCTTGTCTAGAGTGAACATTTCCAACTGTCATTGTCATAGTGGTCCCTTCTCTATCCTAACTGCACTCTCCCCTGCCCCTTCACTGTGGCAAGTTTCCAACCAAGGGCCAGTCCTCATTCTCTGGCCCTCATTTCTATTGTCTGTGGGTAATAGTCACATACTGTGTTTTTTTTTTAATATCCCACAAATGAGTGCAGTCATTCTAAGTCTGTCCTCCTCTTACTCATTTCACTCAGCATGATAACTCTCCATGTCCATTCATTTATAAGCACATTTCTTGGCTTCATTTTTTCCTAACAGCTGCATAGTATTCCATTGTGTAGATGTGCCATAGTTTCTTTATTTAGTCATCTTTTCTTGGGTTTGTTTCCAGATTCTGGCTATTGTGAGTAGTGCTGCAATGAATACAGAAGTGCAGGTGGCATTTCTGCTGTGGGTTTTTGGGGCCTCAGGGCATATTCCCAGATTGGTATTTCTGGGTCATATGGAAGCTCAATTTCTAGTTTTTTGAGGAAAGCCCATATTGTTTTCTATTTAAAAGACTACCAAAAATGAGTTGGTAGTCATCATTCTTACCAACAATGAGAGTCCCTTTCTTCCCAGACTGCTGTTATTTTAAATTCATTTCAAGGCAATCATCATTCCTACCAACAATGAGAATCCCTTTCTTCCCAGACTGCTGTTATTTTAAATTCATTTCAAGGCAATCATTAATATCTTAACAAACATTTATTATTTCTACTATATGCCAGGCCAGTTGGAGATAAAATTTAACTAAACTTAAGAATATGTTATAGCAGGAAAGACTGAAAATAGATTACTTCAATAATGAAAACAAATTCAGTTGTGACAGGTTGTTTTGATGAGGTATTTGACCTCACCTAGACAAGAATAATGGGAAAGTAGTCCATGAGAGGGGCATTTAAGTTGAGATCTGAAGGACATGGTGCATGTAAGGGAGTTATTCCAGGCAGCGGTGAAAGCATGTGTGATGCTCTGAGTTGAGAATAAATATAACAAGTTCAAGAAGTGACTGGAGTTTATAAAGGCAAGGGATAACATCCCAAAAATGAAGCTGGTGCAACTCACAGGTTAAAATAAATTGAGAGGGACTGGAGCAATAGCACAGCCGGTGGGGCGTTTGCCTTGCACACAGCCGACCTAGGTTCGATTCCCAGCAGCCCATATGGTCCCTCGAGCACCGCCAGGAGTAATTCCTGAGTGCATGAACCAGGAGTAACCCCTGTGCATTGCCGGGTGTGACACAAAAAGAAAAAAAAGAAAAAAAGAAAAAAAAAGAAAGAAATAGATTGAGAAATCAGTGAAAGTATTAGTGGGATTAAGCAGAGAATGGGAATGACCAAATTTGTGATAGAAACAGTAGCACTGTGGCTATAGTTTTGAAGGTCAGTAAAAGTAGTGTTGAACTATGTATAATAGTCAGAGCTTGTGCCCAGATAGAAAGAAGTCGCAAATCAGAAACAGAATTTGGTGATTCGGTGGACGTGGGGACTGAAGGAGTAACAGGGATCAAAATGAATTCTTACACATTAGGCATATTATTAAAAGGCTTTCAAAAATCTTAATAATCTTTGCTATTGTTTATTTATTTTCGGGGGCACACCTGGCAGTGCTCAGTGCTTACTCCTGGTGGACCGAAGGACCTTATGGAGTTCCAAGATCAAAGCCGGATGTCCACATGCAAGGCAAGTGCTCTACTCACTATACTATTGTTCCGGCCCACTATTGTTTATTTTTTAAAATAATTTTACCACAGAAAGTATCAAATGTTCAAAAGTAAACCAAATAATGAACTCATGATATAGTATAATACCCCACATCTTTTTTTTTTTTTTTGCAATGGATCCCCGCGAGTTGCAGTTACAGACTTACAAACTTTTATGGTTATGTTTCAGTCATACAATGATCAGTACCCATCCCTCCACCAGTGCCCATTCTCCACCAACAATGATGCCAGTGTGCCTCCCCCCATCCCCACCTCATCCCCCCCCCACCCTGCCCCGCTTCTGTGGCAGGGCATACCCTTTTGCTCTCTCTCTCTCTCATTTTGTGTGTTGTGGTTTGCAATAGAGGTATTGAGCGGCCAGCGTGTTCAGTCTGTAGTCTATTTTCAGAACGCATCTCCCATCCCAAGCGGGCCCTCCAAGTTCCCATTACTTGGTGGTCCCTTATCTATCTGAACTGTCTTTTCCCCCAGTGTGTGAGGCCGGCTTCCAAGCTGTGGAGCAATCCTCTTTACTACTCTTTAGTGTTAGTCTCCCTTTCTGTTACTTTATATTCCGCAAATGAGTGCAGGCCTTCTATGTCTGTCCCTCTCTTTCTGACTCATTTCACTTAACATGATACTTTACAGGTTGATCCACTTATATGCAAATTTCATGACTTCATCTTTTCTAACAGCTGCATAGTATTCCATTGTGTAGATGTACCAAAGTTTCTTCAACCAGTCATCTGTTTTCGGGCACTCGGGTTTTTTCCAGATTCCGGCTATTGTAAACTGTGCTGCAATGAACATGCAAGTGCAGCTGCCATTTCGACTATACTTTTTTGCCTCTCTGGGATATATTTCCAGGAGTGAATACCCCCACATCTTTTCCTATTTTATATGTTACGTTGAAATGCCAAGAACAGTAACGACAAGTCTCACAAGTTGTTGTGAGACACTACTGGTGCCCGCTTGAGCAAATCGATGAACAGTGGGAGGACAGTGCTATAGTGTGTAAACATAACATGTCAAAGCTCTAGGTGTTTTTCAGAACATTATCACAATATCACCATGCATAAATGTCAGTAATTATTTTTCTTTGATTTTTTTTGCCACACTTAGAGGTGCCTAGGGGTTACTCTTAGGTCAATGCTCAGGAATTGCTTCTGGTAGATTTGGAGGATTACATGGGATGCTAGAAATGGAACCCAGCTTGGCCATGTGCAAGGCAAGTGTCCTACCTACCGTACTATCTCTGGCTCCAAATGTAGGCAGCCCTTGAATCTAGAATCACCTAATAAGGCTTTAGTATTTGAATCAGTATTCAAACGAAGTTCACCACAGTGAGATTTGTTGATTTTAGCTATAATTCTCTTTTAGTTAAAAATATTTTTTTCTTGAGAATGTATTTTTAAGATTTGGTCATCTGGCTGATGGTTTTATGCCATATGGATTTTGAATATCACCATAATGTTACTTAGTAAGCTTTCTATATCTCTGAAAACTGGTAGTTGGATTTGTTCATTTGAGGTTTGTCTCTTTTTTTGGTCTAGATAATAGCGTGTAGTGTATTCATCCATCTGTGATTTTAACTTGCATTTCCTTTTGACTAGTGATATTGAACACCTCAAATATCTGTTAGTTTTACACACACACACACACACACACACACACACACACACACACACATTGCTTAGGAAAATTTCCAATGCAGGTCTCTCCCATTTTAAACTGGTATTTTCTTTCTTTTTTTTCTTTTTCAGCTGTTGCACTGTCTGAATTATATACATAATTTATATCTAGTTGTATATATTTATTTGGAGGTCTCGCTTGCAAGCAGTACTCAAGGGAGCTGTTCTCCACACTCGGTTGTATACTAATCTGACGCTGCCC